AAAATGAAGCCATGTCCATTTTGCCAAAGAAAAAAAACTCAGAATGTGGCTCAATTATTGGAAGCCTGGCCATCTTGAAGGTGGTAAGTTAAGGTGGCAAATCAAGTAATTTTTTCATCAAGAATCATATGGGCGAAACTCTATCAGTTTAGGGATAATAGGGTCTTTTTCCATGTGTACACTGTATAGACACAACATAATCTCATCCCCTACCCCAAGACCAAATTATCGTGAATATCCATGATTAGGTTACTGTTCATCGCGGGCCTTGTCTTGTCAGGCGGGCCGGAATCATGGGCAACAAACAAAGGATTAAGGGAAGGTAAGGGGTCAAATCCTATCTCATCTAGACTAACAAACGTGCCCTCAATATATAGCCCTAAGTTTTATTGAAGAAAATCAATAACATATGTTATGACCAGTAACACATATAAGAATTAAGCTCAGTTAAGAAACTGTTTAAAGTTATTATTTTTAGAAACATGTGTATTGTGTACATTTCAAATGAATGACTATTTATTTATGCCAAAAACATATTTTAGTACAAGTAAAACATAAATTAAAATATGTCAATTTAGTTAAACATAACATAATATCCATCAAAATGTAGACATGTCTCACAAATAAAATAATGAAATAGAAACATATGTAAGGAAAACAAACCTTATGAGGTCGATGATCAATGTTTGCCACCAGTTAGCTTCACATGATTCTGTAAGCAAAAGATTATAAGATCTTAGAAAAAAATATAAGACGAGGACATAAAAATTATCTCATATATTAAGCTTCTACTTAATTTCACTTTTTGTTATGATCTCACTTTAAAAATGTTTAATACATTTATACTCGCTGAAATTAACATATATATGTAAAACACTTACCTGTAAACACAATTGTATTTTATGTTGTGCTATGTAATATTGCAGCTGATTGTACTTCATCAAAGTTCCTTAGTATATATCCACGATTCTCATGCACAAAAATAAAAAAATATGGTCAGAAGATATACAAATGTACTTAGCAATACTTGATTACGAAACTAAGCAAACCCGAAGGCTCACTTATAAAATTCCGCAACAGGTTTAGCATGTTTACACAGATGAAGGATCAGTTCTAACATCTTTTTTGTCAGAAAATTCATATAAAACTCTTTCAATCAAATATTTGTACCGATTCGTATATAATATTAAAGCTAAAAAAAGCATGACAGTAACAAAAATTTCTAAAAATAAAACATCATTTTGAAATTTTTTGAAATTTGACAATAGAAAAATATATATAAAAAATCTAAATTAAAAAATACATCATGTTATTTCCTCAGAAATTTAAGAATCTATGTTATCACAATTACAGACCAAACGGATGAAAGAAAAGATGCCATAATAGATCTACTATCAACATACACATACACATGTTCAACCATTTTTTCAGAAAATTGGAATAAAAACAAAAATGTGTCTTTTGTCAAAACTGAACAAAAAAGCATAAACTTAAATCGAGAAGCCTAATTCGATATTACCTTTCCGCCTGGGGTAACAAAAATGCCAATGTAAGGATCTTCCGTTTGTCCTCGGTGATTGAAGTACAATCGGAGAAAGATTTCGATTTTCACAATTGTTTTCTAAGATGAGAAAACAATCTTGAGAAATTTGAAAAACATCTTTTCGTCTTCACAAAATTGGAAACATCAGTGACGATTTCAAACACAAAACAATAAATGGATTTCGTATTCGAATTTGACTGTTGGCTTCATAACAAAACCGCTATTTTTCATGTCATTGTGGAATTTGACCTGCCTAAAATGCATTGTTAGATGGAACCCGATTTCGAAAATAATCCGTTCTTCACAAGGCTCAACAGATTTGTGCTCCCGCTGATACATCATGGAGACACAAGTTTTTTTTTTATTATAATATTTCTGAAAGAAAAATGATTATAATATATTGATTGTTGCATTTTTTCATAATCCTATATTTCCCAACATTAGATAAAACTAAATATTTAATTTTAAAATATATATTATATTCCAAACATATATTCAAAAAATACATAAAAATATTTATGGATAATTTCTTAAAACGAGTACCGAATCTAATCGAATATATTTGATTATCTTAATCGATTCGAATACGAATTCCAAATTAAATCAATTACAAATCGAAGACGAATAGTCGAATATTTTCCCGAATTAGAATTGAATAGTTAAGTATTCGTTTCAATTCGATTCGTTTACAACACTTGCCCCAAATGCTCCGGGTCAAGTCTATGTCTTTTTGCCATTTCTAAATGTCTTTCTTCTAATAATGATAATTCCAATATTATTAAATATATAAAAGTGTTACTTAATACAAAGTGTCATTACATTTTAGTAAAATGTTACAATAGTGAAATACATCAATATCTAAAAGTTGTATAATGTCAAAAGTGGTTCCTAATCTTGGAGATGGTTTTGAACCACTCTTGTTTTTTTTAAGCAAATTATTGGGCACACGTCGTACAACCGGTGATATACGGAGAGCGAGCGTGGAAGGAGCACACGTTTCCACGTCTGAGGTTTATTAATTCTCTTGTCGATGATCTTCAGTGGTTAGGTCCCGAGGTCGTAGTACCTAGTATAAGCCAACGGACACGTTATATACCATGAAGTGGAATTGATATTCCAGTTGTACAATTTTTACATGACTCGCGATATTTCTTTCCGTACACGATTTTGATGCTTCATCCGAATTTTCGAGGGAAGGAGTGTTCTATGCATTGCTGTATGCCTCTATCCATAGGGTCCGAGCTGAACCATATTTCCATCCGGTTGATTCCGTATATGTGAGTATTAAATTTAATTTCTTGTTCTTCAATTCACGTTTTTATTTTAGAAGTCAAAATTTAATAATTAATACTTGTAAATATAGGGTGCCAGAGTGCCTGTATGCTTGTTCCGCTATATTCTCATGGAGGATACTGATACGATTGACGCGTACCTCGCAACAAAACCACTAACGGGGGCGTCCTTAACGCATCATGGGAGATGGCGTGGTTTTGGGACAATGTTAGTATTTAATTTTTTTTTTTTTGTTGGAACTTAAATATGAATATTATAGATATGAGTAACATAGAAAAAAAATTCTACAAACAGGAGTTTGTGAAGGTAGATGGCCTATTGTCAATGCATGTTTCCGACATGGTATTACCTGGTGGGGTGTGGAATGGATGAGGGAGGAAGATACTATATGTGCCAAAATACCTACAGGGTCCCACGGCATCCCGTAGGTATTTTGGCACATATAGTACCTCCCTCCCTCATCCACTCCACACCCACCAGGGTAATAGCATGTCGAAACATGCATTGACGATATGCCATCTACCTTCACAAACTCCTGTCTCCTGTCTGTAGAATTTTTTTTTACAAAATCTATGTTACTCATATCTATAATATTGATATTCATATTTAAGTTCCAACAAAAAAAATTAAAACCTTACGTTGTCCCAAAACCACGCCATCTTCCATGATGCGTTAAGGACGCCCGTCAGTGGTTTTGTTGCGAGATACGCGTCAATCGTATCAGTATCCTCTATGAGAATATAGCGGAACGAACTTACACGCACTCTGACACCCTATATTTACAAGTATTAATTATTAAATTTTCTTTGAAAATAAAAACGTGAATTGAAGAACAAGAAAAATTAAATTTAATACTCACATGTAAGGAATCCACGGATGAAAATACGGTTCAGCTCGGACCCATGGATAGAGGCATACAGCAATGCATAGAACACACTTCCCCCTCAGAAATTCGGATGAATCAACAAAAGTCACGTAGGGAAAGGAATACCGCGAGCCATGTAAAAATTGTACAAATGGAATACCAATTCCACTGTGATACATAACGGTCTCGCTGGCTTATACTAGGTACTACGACCTCGAGACCTACACACGGAAGATCACCGACAAGAGAACCAATAAACTTCAGACGTGGGAACGTGAGCTCCTTCCACGCTCGCTCTCCGTATATCACCGCTTGTACAACGTGCAGTGTTATCAAATTTCCGCCATGGCGTAATGGCGTGGCGGTTTTTGGCCTTTCCGCCATCCGATATCCGTTATACGGCGGATTTGCAATGGCGGCGCCATGGCGCGCCATGGACATGGCGGTCATGGCGGTATGGCGGATATGGCGTGAAATGGCAGAAATCTGGACCAATTTTGGTTAAAAACGAAATTGGGCCTTCTTTACAGGCCCAAGTACTAAAAAAAAGAAAATTTAAACTTTAAAACATAATACATACGGGCTTCTCTCTTCCTGAAACACAAAAACCCTACGCTCCTCAAACTCTCCCTATATGTTGCTTCCGTGCGGCGTGCGCTCTCTACTGACCCAACCCTCCGGCGACCGGTGACCGGCGACCGGCGACTCCAGCTGCGGCAAGGCAGCTCTCAATCACTAGTAAGTTCTTTTCTTCTTCTATTTTCAGTTTCAGATTTAGGCCATTTTTTTTTCCTTCATTTCATAATTGATGGTTAATAATGTGAATAAGTGAATGGAAAGAAACTGAAAGTATGGAAAGAAAGCTTTATGTGAATAAGTGAATGAAAGAAAGCTTTTTTTTTTTTGTTCAGTTTCAGATTTTTTTTTTATTTTCGTTCTATTTTCAATTTTTTTTTTCAGTTTACTGAAACTGAAAGTATGGAATGAAAGCCTTATGTTTAATGTGTATTGAAATTTATACTTAGATTTTGCTAATTGCTACATTGTGCTTTACTGCTTTATAATGTGTATATTCACATTATTTATATATTCACATTAGTTATATGATTGGTGGCTTACTGTTGAAGTTTATAAGCTTATTATTGTTTGACAATAAGATTTGATAAAGTATTCATTTTATAAATTTCAGGAAATGTCAGACGGGGTCCCTTCACTGGCTAGCAGGTCCAACACTAAAAACGACATCGGTTGGAAATTTTGCCATGCACCGAACGATGGAGATGCAAACACAGTTGTTTGTAACTATTGCGAGAAAATTATGAAGGGAGGAATAACAAGGGCCAAGAACCATTTGATGGGAAAAAAGGGAGATGTTGCAGCATGCAAAAAAAGTCCGGCGGAAGTTCGAGAAGAACTTTGGGCTTATATATATAAATATATATAAAATATATATTTTTTGGTCCGCCATTTTTCGCTACGCTATCCGCCATATAAATATGGCGGTTTTTTTGCTTTCCGCCATGGACCGCCATCCGCCATTGATAACATTGACAACGTGTGCCCAACAATTTGATTTAAAACAAAAAACAAAAAAACAAAAAAACAAAAGTGGTTCAAAACCATCTCCAAGATTAGAAACCACTTTTGACATTATACAATTTTTAGATATTGATGTATCTCACTGTTGTAACATTTTACCAAAATGTAAATAGCCTTTAGCAATTCGAGAAAAACACCTTGCAACTTCCAAGGTGTTCAATAGACAGAAGCCCACAGGTTTTAGACCTTCAAGTCCAAGTATCGGGTAGAGTTATCCATGTTACTCGTTGTTTAGGCCGAGGAATCGCGTACCACCTTAGACATCATTTTCCATTTGCAGACTTAGGACGGGCTCTAATCACACAGATCCAAGTCATAACTGAAATACTGAAATATTGACCAAGACGAGATTACTCATCCATCTTGGTCCTTCAATTTAATCACATATAGACCTCAGACATGGTAAATTATTAAAAGCGATGAAATACACAGTACAGTGGTCTCACCTGGAAGCTCGCGAATGCAAATGCTGAAAAATCTGAACTATCTTAGGCTCGACCCTCCTCAAACTACAAAACTTCTAAGTACTGGGCTCAAAATAAAACTCGAATTTTATTATCTAATCTGTCTAGGTTCGCTCACTCGGCTTTAAAAATCATTATAGGGGTTTACGAGCTGATTTTGGAAAATATATTGTCTTTGAGGCATACTAGAGTTCTCTGACATATTTCTAAGTCTTGAACTATAATTGGACTGAAATCTTAAATCTGACTGGGTTTATCTAGCTAGTTCTAAGCTGACTGGATTTTATCTGACTGGATCTTAAATCTGACTGAAATCTTAAATCTAATTAAATCTTTAATCTGACTGAATCTGAATATCTAAATCTTAAATATATCTGAAACCTTAAATCTAATCGGATCTAAAAATTTATTTGAAATTTCTCGAACCGTCCGGACTGCCCGAAGACTGGACTGTCAGTTAACTCGCAGTCGGTCGATCATTCGCTTGACTATGTGCAGCTCGGTTTAACCGCAGTCCGGGTTCGGCGTGGCAACTCGGGCCAGCACGAACTCGACTGACACGGCTTAGCAGATGCACAGGTTTGAAACGGTGTCACGGTCACTGACGCAGGGGCGTGCTTGGACCATGCTAACGGAAACGGCACGTAGACGGTAGATCGAACGGACTCGGTGCACGGGTACGCGCTTGGTGGTTTGACTCGGACTCGATGCACGGGCACGCACTCGGTGGTTCGGCTCCAAGGGTCGGACGAGAGTCGAACACGTGTGCGGGATGACGATACGCATTAAGGATATGTGAAAATTCCTCTCGCTTCGAGGCATACGGCCTCGATAGCCTTCTTAGGCTCGGTGATGGTCCCGTCGATGACTAACAGCCGACCGACTACATCCCGACACCCAAGAACTCATTTATAAGCTTATGACATCTAAAGTTGTTTAAACAGTACTAAGTACTAAGGTTTGGGCGATTAAATTCAAATCTAAAATTTATCCAGTTACCTAAACCGGATAAAACTAGGGTTTTTTTTCTCCAAATAAACTAACTCATTTAAACCCAAAACTTTAAGTCTGAGTTCAACATGATTTATAAGAAATTTACATCAACCAATTTCACCTAAATTACAATTGGAATAATTTCTCAAAATATCGCAAAAAGAGGATAAAGTCTCAAATTTTAATCTATACCAAATGGCATCTAAAAATTTTGAAATCTCAGACACATACTCCTCAACATACGTGTGATTTATGGGAAGTTTATCACAACAATATTCAACTCCTAACTCGTTAACAAAAATCGAGCATTATTGGTCCAAATTCACAAGTTCCATTCACATATCAAACGAGCTCCAAAATTCACGAAAAGTTAACCTAAGCCTCAAACATAATAATATGATTTATCCAATTAGAATCATAATTTTTGGATCTGCCATGAATATTTCACGAATTTTTATCTATTTAATCAAATAAAATAATATAAATTCCTATTCAGCTTAAAAATACTCAAACTTATTTTTAAAATAAACTAAAATTCATGTCTAACACCATGGAGTTGAGTTTAAGCCCATCTACCTCAAAAAAGATCTCGAAATAAAAATTGAAAATCGAAAGGGCTGTTGAAAATGGGAGGGCTGTGAAGGGAGAGGCGCGGGCTGCGGGCCTGGGGGTACTGCGCGGGCCTGGGGCTGCTGGCGCGGGCCTGGGGCTGCTGGGGTCGGCTAGGGCTCGCCGGTGGTCGGAGTACTGGCCGGAAAATGGCTGGGCTCGCCGGAAAACGTGAGAAAATGGCCGGATGCTTGGTTTTTGTGACGTGGAGGTTAAGAAAATGAACTTTACTCTTGATTTTTGCTAAGAAATGATGCATTTTACTATAGATCTTGAAATGGAAGGAGATGATGATGAATAGTAGATGTAGGCTAGGGTTTTGAAGTGCAAATGGTTTGTTGGGAGATGAAGGAGTGATATATATATAATTGTGTCTAGGAAATAGGGTTTGTGTTGCATTTTGGGCCCAACATTGGGCTTTTAAAATTACTAACACTCGGGTTTAATAATCGGGCTAGTAAATATCGAACATTGATTTAGGAAATTAAATTCTCAGGTAAAATTAATCGAACTCCGACTAAATTAATTAGTTGGTCGAATTAAATAATAATAATAATTGGTCGGGATTTAAAAATCGACTATAGGTTCGATTTTTAAAATGGTCAAATAAAATCGAACATGAGCTCGATTTACTAAAATGGACCGGCTAAAATAATTGGACTCGCTCAAAAATAGTTAGGCTCGAATAACTAAATATGCGGGCTTCGGTCCGCTTAAATAAAATTTTGATTATTCCAAAGCTCGATTTTAAAATATAACCGATATTTGGGCTAAATAAATTCGATTTTTAATAAATAAAAATCGAATAAATCTTCCATGGCTTAAATTTATTACTAATTACTCGATTTAATGCAAATAGAAATAATTAAATGCACTAAACGAAGAAATTGACTATTTATGAAAATAAAGTCGAGCTCCATAAATAGTAAATAATATTCGGGGCGTTACATTAAGTGTGTTGAAACATAATATAAAAAAATCATGCAAGTTTTTATAGTAAATGACATAACACATTAAAAGGGAAAAATTGTCTGCATTATCAGATTTGCTGAGTCCATGGTAATAATCTTGAACAACCTGCATTTTTGCCAAGGGAAGATTAAATAATTAAATTAGTTTCCATTATAAAGATATACATTTTTTGTCAAGAAAGAAATGAGTTGCCTAGAAAACAAAAATATTTGCTTACATATCTTCTTGAATGACATTGCATTAATGTTAATCAGTTTAACATTTTTTTTTAAATATCATTTATTTAGGGAGTAAGATGATTTTCTCATTGAAATTCGAATCTTTCATAAATTTAGAAATATTAAAGACATAATTTTTTT